CTAGTATCTTACTGTTTATTCTTTTTCCTTCTGATTCTTCTTTTTGTGTCTGTCCTAAATAGTGGCATTTTCAGGAGTTCTTTCCATACTCAACATTTTGTCTCAGTTTCTATGCTCTTCTTGGGTGATGTACCTCTTCTCCAACACACCAATATCCATACATTGGTGAAACCCAAGCTCTCTTGAAGTTTGAATGTAAGTATACCTGTTCACCATGTCCACCTGGATATCTCATAGCCTCTCAAATTCACATGACCATATTTGAAATTGACTTCCCCTACCTCTCAATACATACATACAACAGCATATTATATTTTGTTTGGTGACAGCATGATCTATCTATCACCCCAGCCAGAAATTTGGTGATCTCACATGACTCTTCACTCTCAACTCCCACAAACCATGGATCACCAATTTGTCTACATTGCTTCATAAACACTCATTGAATAGGTCTTATCTTCTTTATCTCTATGCTTCCCACTCTCCAGTCTCTTACCTCCAATTGGTCTCTTGCTTCAGGTGTTTTAAAAAATATTTATTTATTTTTAGTTTTAGGTGGACACAATATCTTTATTTTTTATGTGGTGCTGAGGATCAAACCCAGTGCCTCGCACATGCCAGGCAAGCACGCTACCATTTGAGCCACATCCCCAGCCCTCTTGCTTCAGTTTTATTGCTGTCAAAACTGTTGTCAAATTTTAGCATGTTTCCCTGAAGATGACATGGAGCTGTCTCAACATCTTTCACTTATCTCTATCCTCTGCAAAGAGCATATCTGTGGTTTGTCTCCTGTAAACCCCGCCCCCCCAATCTTATCTCTCACTCTCTTGAAATTAGTTACTTAGATCTCTGAGCTTGTTACTGCTTCCTGGATACCCCATTATGGGACTTTGTATATGTTTGGGACCTGACACAGTCTCTTACCCTCTTTTTCCTTTTCCCCCACCTCAACGACTGATTAAGGATCAGATAACATCTGTTCCACGGAATTATTCTGACCTTTCTATAGCTTCTCCCTTTCAAGACTAGGTAAGATACCCTTTACCTAGTCATGCCTCAATTTTTGTATTTATTGCAAGTTAATTATGTTTTAGGGTGTGTCGCTACAAGGTACTAAATTTAGTGATGCATCCAACATTCTCTTTCTGATTGTTTCATAATTTGAACGAGTCTACATAGATGACTCCCAAATAAATTCTGGAGCAAGAATCTGAATATTCATTGTTTGAGAAAATTCATATTGATGAGTTACTGTGTTTGAGGAACCACACTAGGTGCTGGGAATTTAAAGATGAGTAAGATGAGGTCTTTGATCTTAATGCCTAACGAGAGAGAAAAACTAATAAATGATTCCCACAAAGGGTGATAGTGCCTTGATGGAGATGTAAGAGAGGACTGTGGGAGCAGAAGAGAATGCCAAGAGCATCTTCAGGTAGGCTGTGGGGGGAGAAAAATCAGGGAAGGCTTCCTGAAAGAGTTGTCACACATGCTGAGTATTAGAGAATTGGTAAGAGTTATCTAGGCAAAGCAATTAAATGGCAGTGGAGTAGATGAATAGACACACTAATGAAATGGCAGTTGCAAAGTATGGAAGTAAAAAAGAAGAAGGTGAGTTCTGGAAATTGTCAATGGTTCATGTGATTGGAGCACTGGGAGAAGAAGAGTAGGGGAAGATAAGGCGAGACAAACCAATCTCGAAAATATCAGGCTAAAGAGTTGGAATCTAAAACCAAAAGCTATAGGAAGCCATTAAATACTTTAAATGGGGGAGGTGATAATGTATGTTTTTTAGTAGCTCATCCTAGCATCAAGGTTGAAAAAATGGATTGGGAAAAGAGAGATAAAAACGAGGGAGAACAATTAGTGACTCTATGGTATACTTCAGAAGACAAATGATGAGGACTTTAACTTAACCAGTGGAAATAAGGATGAAAAAAGACCAGATTCTTGCAAAATTTATAAGAATTGTAACCCACTGGATGAGAAGAATTAGTTACCTACTGGATGAAAGGAAACTGCCTCATTTTTTTTTTGTTCTCAACAATATTGATTGCATATTTTTGAAAGACCAGAAACTAACTATTCCAAGTAGGGATATAACGGTGCCAAAAAGACACTAAATGTGTTCTTATGGAGCTCATGTTCTAGTGGGAAGCAGATAATAAACTAACAAATAAATAACACAAATTTAGGTGATTGCATGATGGAATTGAATGAGAATGGAGAGACATTGGAGACAATATTTGAAGTTGGAAGGCAGGAAAAACTGCTCTGAAGAAATAAGTTGTAAGTAGAGATAGCATGAGGAGAAGATAGACTCATGCAAAAACCCAGAGGAAAATGTCCATGCTTCAGGTGACTGCCAGGCTTCTGACTGGGAGGACTGTCTACATGGTACTTTTTACCAATATATAATATGAGTGAAGGAATAAATTGGTGAGATGTGAATTCTAATGTCATTTCTGCCATATAGGTGTTGGGCACGTTGTCTTGGGCACATTACTTGAGTTACTTAAACCTTACTACCCTCATTTATAACTGGAAATAGTCTTAACTTTCTTATCTCACATCTGTGGTGCTCAAATAAGCTGAGATGGGTGATAGTGCTTTGAAAAGCATAAAATGCTGTAACAATTGAAAGTATTATTGTTTGCTTAAGTTGTCTAAGCCTTTCATGAAGAAAAGAATTTAAAAAAAAACCTTTGAACTCCATGTGCTGACACAGTCCATGAGAATAATAAATACTCAACAGGGGAGGAAAAGGAAAGAACTCTCTGTTTTCCTTTGGAAACAAGTGATGATGGTTTCCATAGTCCCCTTTTTCAAGCGTTAGTATCTGTCAATCAGGTTGTGAATTTTTGTATTAAGTTTTAAATGAGATAGCAACCTTTTTTAAAAATTAGGTAGAAATTTATATACATTTTAATCTCCCCTTTAATTACCTTCTCTTTTTGTATGGAAAATATGCCCTTCAACTAATGTGATTCTAGGCAAATCTAATTCATGGAGGGGTAGCTCAAGAGCAGAGTTGAGTTAATCATACTCTCACACTATTCCTATCTTATTTTACTCCTTTTTATTGTTTACTCCATTTCATTCGTACACGGGGCAGAGAGAGGAGTAACAGCCATTCTATTGGGTTTAACGCATCTTTTTATATGTTTTTATATGTTTATATGTTTATATGTTTCCTTCAAAGTGCATGTTTGAATGTATTTTTAATTTGTAATGGTATCGTAGGGCATTTAAATTCTTACTATTCATAGTATTCTATATATTTACTATTTAGTAGTTATGAACAATTAAAGTATCTAGAAGGTTTTAATTTTCTAACTAACCAGTATATTCTAGTCTTTGCTCCAAAAGAGCATCTATTTTGCAATAGTTTGGAGTCTGTCTTTGAAACCAATTCTAAGCTTCCTAGTATTTACCCTATCTCTTGGAATTTGTTGGTGACATAAGCAGCTGAGAGTCAGGAAACTGTGAGATAAAAATACTCAGACAACCTCAGCATACAGTGATCATTGATCTGATCAGCCGGATTCTGTCTGAGCTTTTCAATGTCTTCCTCACTTAGATCACTCTCTTTCTAAATGTAGAAACTGAAGAGGTTTGTTGAGTGTTCAGCATAATCATGTTTTCCTGAACTGCCATGGCCACTGGAGAGTCATCGAAGTAGAGTAAGAGTTGGGTTGCTTCCCTCTCCAGATTCAACATGTTCCCATTTCTGCAGTTTCCTATAATGAGTTTCAAGTTGAGCCAGATTAAACTGCATTTATACAAATACATAATTGGCCAGCTGTTAAAATCGAAGCCAGCACAACTCCCAAAAAGGCAGAAAAAAAAATTCTCTCAAAAAACAATTTCCATTTCAGAAGCGATTACCATTCTGGTTATAATTTTGCATGGAAATTTCAGAAATGGAGTTTTGTACCAGAAAGAAAATGAACATCTGCAATTAATTATACTATATGGAACACATTGGCCTGTTGTAACACATAAGTTGAACTTTTTACCCTTTGATAGCTTGACCGTTTCTGAGAGATGAGCAACTAACCACTCAGTACTACTTTTCATTAGTCAGCCAACTCAGAGGCAGCTTATGTTGGAAAGACATAGTGTCCTTCCATAGGACTGCTGTGGAGCTAGACAGAACTGGCATCTGTCCCAGCATTCACTAGTTCTGTGACCACTAAATATATTACCATAACCTCTTCTTTAGCCCAAGCTTTCCCATTTGTGAAGTTAATTTGGGTTAACTCACATAAAGTGCCTGGTTTAATGCATGGCACAGTCAGAGCTTATTTGTTCATTTCTTTTTCTTGTTCCCCTAAGAACTAAAAAATATGCTGAAAGCATTAGGGGCAAAAAAAAAATGTCATAATACTGAGGAGATGAGATGGAGCTATTATAAGTCTGCACTTGCATCTCAGGCCCAGATTAGAAAATCCTGTCCTAAGGGCCAAATCCAATAAGCCACCAGTTTCTATAACATCAGTAAACTAAAAATGGTGTAACAAATATTTGAGGTAAATACACTTTAAAAGACATTTATTTGGGCTCACAATTTTGGAAGTTTCAGTCTACGGTCAGTTGACCATGGAGAGGCAGCGCCATGATAGTGAGAGCTTATAATGGAACAAACTGTTCACCTCATGGCACCTAGGAAGCAAAGAGAAGAAGAGGATGGGGATGGGTTTCTCCAAACCCCTTCAATCACACACCCCCATGACCAAAAGACCTCCCATGAGGCTCCAACTCTTAAAGGTTTCACCACTTCCCAATTGCACCAAGAGCTGGGGCCCAAACCCGTGCCACGTGGACGTCTGCATGGAGTAAGTAGATCCTGTAGATCAGTAATGATTCAATCATTATTTACATTTTCTGTGAGCAAATGGATTTACAAACCATTTAATAATGAGTATGTTAAATAGAATTTATAAGTTGAAATTAGCTTTATAAAGAAAAATGTAGATATCTTATATCTGTTTGTTTTCCAGGCCTGTCAGAGAGTTTGCTATGCCAAGAGGAGCAAATACATTTTGCTACTGTGTAAAAGCAAATGTGGTTGTCACTGGAGGTAAGAGGACAGTTCCCATCATAAAGAGATTTTCTGCCTTGCAAAGAGTGCTCTCCTATTTTACTGCTGGGAATAACCTTTTAGGGAATTTATAAAATTTTATGAAGTCAAATCTGTATGTCGCATTCTGTGTGGCTTCTTGACTTGGGGACACACTTAGAAAAGCTTTCCTCAGCCTAGGAATCGGTGAAACAAGATTTTCTAGATTTTATTTTAACTTGCTTTTATTATTTGGCTTTATGGTTTTACTTTTAGAGCTTTAATCCATGTAAAAACCTATTTTTACAAATGAGAGCATGAGTTCCTAAATTTTAAAGCTTCCTAAAATATAACAAAGCTTGTATCTTTATTTGCGTATTTTGGGGGGGATAAAGCCAAATTTGTCAAATTCTTAAAAGGATTCCATGACCAAAAAGGTCAAGAGCTAATGACTTTGAGTTAACAGAGAAGAGGACCAAGTTTAGAACCTTGAATACCAACTATCTAGGGGCAAGTAAGGTAGAAGATGGGAAACAAGGTCATCTTCTGAGAGGGGAAAGATGACATCGTGAGAAGTTTTAGGGGAAAGATAGAGGACCAAAACACTCTTTTTTTTTTTCAGGGATTAAACCCATGGGTGCTCACCCACTGAGTCACATCCTCAGCCCTTTTCATTTTTTATGTTTGAGACAGGGTCTCACTGAGTTGCTTAGTGTGTCACTTTTACTGAGTCTGGCTTTGAATTTGTAATCCTCCTGCCTCAGCCTCACAAGTGACTGGGATTACAGGTGTACGCCACCACGCCCAACCTGAAACACTTTTTCAGATGCAAACTCCTCCACTATAACACTGACTTTTTATTTTACTGCACTTTGGAGTCAGATTGTCTAGGTACGAATTCACTCGCAAGCAGTGTGGTGGGCAGATTGTTTATTTCCCTAAAATTTCAATCTCATCTGTAAGTAGAGTTGACTGTAGTATCTGCTCAAAAGAATTCAAGTAATTTAAATAAAGTACTTAGTACTGTGTCTTCTGCACAGTAAGTGCTCAATGTGTGTTTGCTAATGATATCAATGGTAAGAAAAAACATATCATGTAGTGTTTGAGATTAATTGAGCTAATACATGCCTGGCACGTAGTAAGGTCTCAATAAATATCCATTCGGTCCACTTATAATACATAGGCAAAATTACTTTGGCAGATGTGTGAAGGTTTTGTTGGAATAAAGAAATCTGAGGTTGTGTTTAGAAGGCTGTTACCGCTGTCATGAATGAGATGGAGAGGGTCTAAATTATCATGGGTATCATGGAAAAAGAAAAGAAAAAGCAAATTTCAAGGACACTGGAAGTGGGGCTAGGGGTGTAGCTTAGTGGTAAAGTGCATGCTTAACATGAGTAAGACCCTAGGTTCAACCCTTCCTCCCCCCCCCAAAAAAAACCAAGCAAAACAAAATAAAAAATCCAAAACAAAGCAAAAAAATTGGAAATGAATGATTCATAAGGCAATTCATGCAGAATGATATTGTAGATTGTAAGGTGGGAAATGGAAAAACATCATTATGTTCATAGTGACACAGATATGAGGAAGAAGATGCTTAGGTGGATTTTCCATCTAAGCAAACAAAAGCTCAATTTTTGAACCTAAAGTTCAAATGTTAATTAAACACCCAAGAGGGCATTCCTTCTGTTGATGGGAAAAGATCTAGTTAGAGAGGAAGGGTATTGGGGATCCCAGACTGCCTTCAGGAGGGGGAAGACTAACACGCATTATAGGTAAGCAGACTTATAGGTAAGATGCAAGTGAGCAAAGCAGAAATATAAACAAATATACGTCAAGAAAATGTCCTGTATTGCAAAACCAAAGTTTAAAAAGAGTAAGAATAGAAAATTTTAAAAAACCTCTTTCCTTAAAAAATAAAATAAAATTTAGTAAATATATCATTTGCCTAAAGACATTAGAGCAAAAATACCCATTAAAAGAACCAAGATGTTAAATGAGTGAGTGCTATTGGCCCCTACCAGGTAAGATACCTTCAATTCTTATTCCCAAATACTCACGGCAGGCAATGCCTGGATTCTTCTTAGAGTCAGCTGCCTCACCCTAAAGTGCCTATTTTGCAAACTATAAAGTGTAAAGATAGCTAAGCTCCTACTTCAGAATAGGTATATCTATCTGAGATATACCCTGAGAGCACAAAGCTAATTTTTTAAGTATACTGTGTATTCAAAGTTAATACTTAAATTAATGTTTTGTTTTCTTGAGTGAAAGCAATAACTATTTATTAGAATAATACTTAATTAACAAACTGGGTCCCAGATTTTTCAAAATATATTTTTAGTTTACCTTCCTAAGAACAGGCAGTTCTTGGAAAATTGTAACCATAGTATTTTAGGTCAGGAGGATCTCTGAAAGCATGTAGTTCAGTTTCCTCATTGAGGAAAATATAAGCAACAGGGAGAGATTAAATATTGAAAATTAAACAGTTTATTAGTAGCCAGGCTATGACTAAACTTAAGAATAAGTTTATAACTAAATTTCTAATACATTGTTTTTACTTGTTTTGCTATCCAAAAGAATGCTATATTATTTTTATAATTATAATTTAACTATAAGTTAATTTCAAGTAAGTATTGTAGAAGGCCTAAAGTTGAGCACAAATTTAAGTATTAAGTTCGAATGCATAGTATACTTGAAAAAAAAATTCGCTTTGTGCTCTCAGGGGAGATATACTTACCCCTGAAGTAGGAGTTTAGCTGTCTTTACACTTAATTGTCATAGGAAAGCAAGGAGCCGAAACTCTAAGTTCTTGTGCTCTAGTGAAAGAAGATTTAAACTCAGACACCAAAAGTCATGCAGGAGAACTTTATTAGAAGTGAAAGTGAGGTAGAAATAAAATAAGATAAAAGTGAGGCTTAAATAGAAAGCACTTTCAAGGGAGAGAGTAGACTGTCTCCAAGCAGAGAACAACAAAGAAGAAAATGCTAATTTTCTTTTTTCCCCAATTTTATTACTGTTTGATGTTTACCAGAACTGGGGACCACCTTCTGTACTCTTCGCCAATTAGATATTCAACTCCTTCACATTGGGCAGTGGAGTTTTTTACCTTAGTTGGTCCTCTCTGGAACTCTCATGGTGGCCATCCTATTTAGGGGGGCTTCATCTACAAGTCAATCCCATATTAATATGGTCATTGGGTCAATTGCTGGTCAGAAGTTACCTTAGTGCACCTAAACTACTAAAAAAATCTTCCTTCCCAGATAAATAGAGACACCTTTAGCCATAATTCCTAACTTCATGTCAATATCAACGGACCCTATCAAGAGTTAATCCCATTAATCCTTTTCTTTTGACATATTTCCCAATTAGCTCCTTTTGCTTCTGTTTCCTTTCTACAAATTAACTGTCACACTTTCTTGTTTACTTTGGACATAGTTTAAAGAAGAACCTAAAGTAATTTAAAAGAACACTTGTGACCTTGCCTGCATTTCACTGCTCATTGCTAATTATTACCCAACAAGATGTATGATCTATCATGGGCAATGGAAATGGAGACATTTCCTGGCCTGGACTACAAGACAAAGTAGTAGTGGGTGCCCCAAGAGATGAAAGAAGGATTGCACAGCGTGGTGGAAATGGAGCACCAAACATGACTGAATCAGTCGGCTTTCTATCACTGTGACAGAATACCCGAGAGAATCAAATTGAAAGGAGAATGGACTTATTGTGCTATAGTTTCAGAGATTTCAGTCCATGGTCACTTGGCCTGTTGGTTTGGACTTGTAGGGCTCAGTATGACATGGTGGGAATATGTGGCAGAGGAAGCTGTTCATCTCATGGCAACCAGGAACCAAAGAGAGAGACAGGAAGGGTCTAGGGACCCAATGTCCTCTTCAAGGGCATGATTCCAATGACCTAACTTCCTCCAACTAGGTCCCACCTATTAAAAGTTCCACCACCTTCCAATAGCATCACAAGCTGGGGACTAAGACTTTAGCACATGGGCCTTTGGGGAACATTCCAGATCCAAATGAAAGCAATGCCTAAGAAGCAAACCACTAGATTCTGCCTCCACCATTGCAAGTCTTTATTATTAGGAAAAATTTTAATACTCTATTTCAACCCAAATCCCCCCCCCAAAAAAAAAACCCTTTGACAAAACAGTACTTAAATATGTGGCCAAACTGAGATTTAATTTTTAAAATATAATCATCATATAATGGTTTCACATTCATCTTAACCAGGTGCTTTGGACAGCCCTTTGTTCTCACTTAAAAGAAAATAAAACTTTTAAGAACACCAGCTTTGGCTACATGCTTGTAATCCCAGTGCCTTGCAAGGCTGAGGCAGGAGGATTGCAAGTTCAAAGCCAGCCTCAGCAAAAGTGAGGGGCTAAACAACTCTGTGAGACCCTGTCTCTAAATAAAATACAATATAGGAGTGGGGATGTGGCTCAGTGGTCAAGTACCCCTGAGTTCAATCACCAATAGCCCCATACACACACACACAAACAAAATACCAGCTTTAATATAATGTTAGCATTTTAATCATGTCTGGGGGAAATGTGTTTAGTAAAGTTCTGGAACTTAAATGATTCCATTAAACTCAGTGTTCATTATATTATAAAATCCTGCTCTACAGCTTTGAAAACTTATTAGTTATAGTTTTTCTAGCCTTTGCAAAAGAAATCAAACATTTAACAGCATGACCAGCAAGAAACCAATACATTTCACCATGCATAATTTATTAAATTTCACAGTTTTGAAGCCTCTATTAGTAGAAAATGCAAATTCTCAATAACTGAAAACATGTTTTTCCCAGGAGAATACTCTTGTTGATTAGTGACTCAGCCAAGCACATTGTGAAGTGTACAGTACGTACTGGCCAATGACTCAAAATATACAATAAGAGCTGTTTTGCGAAGCATAGTTGAGCAGGTTAAATATGCAGGGACACTTATAAACAATTTTCCACAATTGCACAACTAGTTATCTAGTTGAGTCAGTTGTCTTTGCTCCCAGCCT